AAAAAATACCTCAAATCTCCTGCTGGGCTGGAACAGGAAATACTTTCATACAGTAAATAGTAAACATATGGAATCTTTTAGCCCCCAAAACTTATGCAAGCTGAATATATAAATAGCTGAAAGAGGTTTAGGTATTACTCATGAATGAAAAGAATACATAACAATTTTGGCAAAAATTAAAAAGTTTGACAGTATTGATGAGGATGTGGGGCAAAGGAAATGATATACATTGTTTGTATAGTTTTGTTCAACAACTTTGGAAAAGAAGTTGATATTATGTGGTAAAGTTAAAAGCCGCGTATCTTGGGGCACCTGGGTGACTCAGTTGGTTAAGCAGCTGACGATTTTTGGCTCAGGTCATGATCTCAGAGTTTGAGATCGAGCCCCAAGTAGGGCTTCCTGCTCAGCAGGGATTCTGCTTGAGATTCTCTCTCCCTCTGCCCCTTTCCCCACTCACACACACTCTCTCTATATATAAAATAAATAAATCTTTAAAAAAAAATCACATATCTTATGAACCTGTTCCACTCGTGTATACCCTAGAGAAACCCTCCTAGATGCACTTCAGAAGGCAAAATGTTCCAGGACACCTGGGTGGCTTAGTCGGTTAAGCATCTGTCTTCGGCTCAGGTCATGATCCCAGGGTCCTGGGATCGAGCCCCGTGGCAGGCTCTCTGCTCAGCGGGAAGCCTGCTTCTCCCTCTCCTTCTGCCCCTGTTCATGCTCTCTCTCTCTCAAATAAATAAAATCTTTAAAAAAAAAAAATGTTCCAAGAGGCAATGTTCATAATAGCAAAAACCTGAAAACAATCCAAATATCCACCAGCAGGAAAAGACATAAATAAATTATAGTATATTCACAAAATGGAAACAGCACTGAATATGAATGAACTTCTCTATATGCAGAAATATGGTTGAATCTTGGAAACATGTTGATAGAAAAAAAAGCAATTCACAGAATAATTACATATAATACTACTTTTACACAATTCAAAAATATACAAAGCTAAAATAATAAGTTCTTTTAGGGATCCATACATATGTGATAGAACTAATTTAAAAATCAAAGGAATGATTAATACAAAAGTCAGAATCTTGATTTCTTCTGGGAGCAAATAAGCTGTAAGGGTGGGATTGGGAAAGAAATACAAGTAGCTTCCATAGTCTTGGTAATGATTTAATTTTTAACTTGGGTGGGGTTCACTAGTGTTAATTTATTCTTCATAACTTACATGTATATTACAAATATCCTTTTAATACCTAATGATCTTTGAAAATGAAAGTGCGTACTTCCCTAATCTTCTAGGTGGACTTGATGGAAAACAACTTCCATGCTTTCCCTGAAAATGTAATTTGGTCCCAATAATCAGATGAAACTCTGGGCAAGATGGATCATTGGTCTGATCAGGGATATCTTTTTAAGAAAAAATAAACTTCCTAATTTCAAAATAATAAATGCTCTTTATAGAAAATGGAGAAAACCAGAAAAAATATAAAGAAAAAAGTTTACATCATCTGTAGTCCCCTAATTTAGATATAATCACTGTTAGCATTTTGTTGTATTTTTCTTTAGTTTTTTAAATATGTAAAGCTGGAGTTGACAATAGCATTTAAAAATATATTTTTCTATTTCTATTTGGAATCTTCTTTCCCTGAAGACAGTAATGATGCTATGTGTATATGGTGTATTTATAGTCTAATGTTCAGTTTTAAGTTCTATTATACAAGTTGCCCATATAAATAACTTAAATTTTAGCAGTTCTCTCACTGGAGACTTTAAGAAATAGGAGAAGGGCAATCATTTGTCAAGTTTGCCAAATATTTTCCACTATAATTTTTGACTTCTAAATCAATTACAGGTATTTGTACGAAGAAGTGGAGTTTTTCTTCTGATGTCCTGCTTTCTTAAACTCTGATTTCAATATAAAAATACATTTTTCTGAAAGATTTTTAAAGGGTTTTATATTATTTCTAAATTTTTGAAAGCAGGGGAAAATTTCTCTTGATAATTCATAATTTTATTAAGATTTTATTTATTTGTGTGTGAGAGAGAGAGAGAGCACAGCAGGGGAAGGGGCAGAGGGAGAGACAGAGGGACAAGCAGACTCCCCGCTGAGCATGGAGCCCAAGGTGGGGCTTGATCCCAGGACCCTGAGATCACAACCTGAGCCAAAGTCAGAAACTTAACCGACTGAGCCACCTAGGTGCCCCAATAATTCATAATTTTAAGGGCAATTTCCCCATTCCTGACCATTCATACAAAAAGATTAATAACATGGTGTCTAAATGGTTTTTTTTTTTCTGGTGTGTATTTGTATATTTTAAAAACTTTATTCCTTTAAGGGCACCTACGTGGCTCAGTTCATTAAGCATCTAACTCGGTTTTGGCTCAGGTCATGATCTCAGGGTTGTGGGATCGAGCCCAGCATCAGGCTCCACGCTCAGCAAGGAGTCTGCTTGGGATTCTCTCTCTCCCTCTCCCTCTGCACCTGCCCCCAATCTCTCTCTCTCAAGTAAATAAATAAAATATTTTTTTTAAAAAAACACCTTTATTCCTTTAAAACCCTCAACCTACCATCTACTCAATGTTGAGAGGATATACAGCATCAGAGGTAGAAGATATTTTAACACATTTTTACAGGTATAAAGTATAAGAAGTTCTAAACATTTATCATTGATTTTAATGATTAAATTACAAAATCTTGTAAGAGCTGAGATACTTTTTATATCCCTTCCCCACTGGATTCCTAAAGTGGATTCTGATTCAGGGGGATTGTGGGGGGCCTGGGCATTTCTACAGGTGATTCTGAGGCCCAGCCAGGCATGAGAGCTACTGCTCTAAGCTTAAGGACATTAATCAAACAAAAACAAAAACACACAAATAAAAAACACATACAAACAAAGCTCTCTTTTGAAAACAGACCTCCTGTTAGCCTAGAGAGGCAGATCAATATTCCACTCCTAGTTGTTAATTTTTTTTTAAGATTTATTCATTTTTTTGAGAGAGAGAAAGAGAGAGGGTAGGGCAGAGGCAGAGGGAAAGGGAGAAAGAATCCCAAGCAGACTCTGCGCTGAGTGTGGAGCCAGATCCCAGGATCCTGAGATCATGACCGGAGGGGAAATCAAGAGTCAGACGTTCAACCCACTGAGCCATCCAGGCGCCCCCTATTTGTCAATTCTGAGACACACTGACAGCTTGGGCGGTGCCCCTTGCACCCTGTCCAGAGTAGTTCAGTAAGTGATGAATGAAGAGCCTCCACTTCTCTTGAGGATAAGGAAGCACAGTATTTTCCTCCCTTAAGAAAATACAATGCTTCAAGAGCCCATTGCTTCGTGGAAGTCCGGAGTGAGCATGAAGGAAATTTGGACTAAAGAAAACTGGGAGATGGCCCTAAAAAAGGATTCCACTGCTTTTTTCTCTTTTGGCCAGCTCACCATGGGACTGTTTTTTTGTTTTGTTTTGTTTTTTAAAGATTTTATTTATTTATTTGACAGAGACAGCGAGAGCAGGAACACAAGCAAGGGGAGTGGGGGAGGGAGAAGCAGGCTCCCCACAGAGCAGGGAGCCTGATGCGGGGCTCGATCCCAGGACACTGGGATCATGACCTGAGCTGAAGGCAGCTGCTTAACAACTGAGCCACCCAGGCGCCCCTCATCACGGAACTGTTGATGAGGAGTATCTACCACCGATAACCATTTGGTTTGATACTAGAGGTCAGATGGCTGGGAGAGGGAGAAGATAGTAAATGTGAGCTCATAGCAATCTCTGCAGCTTACTAGTTTGTAGCACTCTCCATGAGCTAGTTCATACAGGGAAATACCTTTAAAATAACTCTAGGGTTAGGGGACAAGGGTGAAACTGCCCAGCCAGGTATTGGGTTTAATTTAGGAAAAAGACAGCTGTTTTCATTTAACCTCTTGAAAAGGTTTATGCATTGTCTTCCCCCAACCACAAAAGAAAACACAACCACAGGACAAATTACTCTTTGAATGTTCCGTAAGTTATGAATATAAACACAGGAACAACAGAACTTGTGCTGAGATTAAAGTTTAAGGAGCTTTAAAATATTTTTAGTTCTTTTCATCTAAAAGTGTTTACCTTCAGAGAGGCTTTTCAACAGTTTCCTTACTGGAAAGATTTGGTTTTTAAATTTCCTCGAAAAGAGAGCGAAGGAGAGAAGAAATGAAGCAACAACTGTAAACACCTGTCAACCGAAGAGGGCTGAAAGAACAGAAACTGAGTTTTGTGAAGAAACAACAGATAGTTCTCACTCTAGAGGTCAGGTCTTTCATCCTCATGTCTAGAAATCAAGCTTGTTTGTTTGGTGTACCTTGGAGAAGTAGGTACTTTCGAATGGACCTCCCACAAGTCTCCTTAGCAGCCAAACGAGTCCAGTGGCCGTCAGCCAACTAACCCAAGGAGGACTTTAAAGGCAACCGGAAGCTACCCGTGAAACCTCAAAGTCCTGTAACAGGAAGCCACACGAATAGAAAAGAAAATGCACCTAATTAAATGTAAGGACAGTAGTAGCCCTTGAGTTATGTAATAGTAAGTATGTAACAAAAAGAGATAAAGAAGTACATGCAGAACAGTCCTTGAATCTGAGTCCAGTTTAGAAATCTACCCACTTGGTTAATATTTCTGAAGGACTGAGAATTCTACAAAGCAAAAATTTTCACTGAAAAGAGGCAGCATAACTGTGTCCATGGAATTAGATGGAAACTTTCCAAAAAATAAAATCAGCAGTAGTAGTGTCCCCTCCTATATTCTTTTAGGCAAAATGAGCAGTGGCGGGTGGTTCCAGGGGGCAGCTTTGGCTGGAGTTGGTATCCTATGAGGACAATCAGTGCTCATTCAAAAGTCCCTGCCTTTATAAACTGTTGCCCTCCTGATCTTTTCTGCCAAACTAAAGACAGAAAGGCCTGCTGAGAAGGGTCCTGCCGAGCACAGGACCGAAACCAAAGCTAAGGCTTTCCCTTCTAGGGTGCTGGTCATTAACTGGGCAATGCTGGGACAGTAAGTCTTCCTGCGCCTCATTCTTCTGGACTGTTCCAGGAGAGGACTGAAAACGTTCATCGCCAAGGTTCTTTCCGGCTCTGAACTTCTGGGTCAAAGAAAAGGGGAGAAAGGTGTCAAGAGGAGAGGAGGCGTTTCTGTCCTGGCCCGATCTTGTGAGCACTGCGATAGGAATCACTGGTACAGATTTTTAAATGGGGGAGGGGGCATATAACTCACCTAAAAACAGAGATTTCCTGATGACCTGACAAGTGCCTTGAGCCCAAGACTCCCTCGCAGTAGAATGGCTTCTTGGTCTCCCCGCAAGCCCCTTCAAGTGACTCAGAGAGGTAAAGACATTTGTTAGGGAGCACGGGAGGCAGGTCACAGTAGAAAAAGTCCTAACAGCATCAGGGACATTATGCAGGCTCATCGGTGGAGTGTGGCTCCTCCCCAGGCACAAACCACATCAAAACCTACTCAGGATTATGCCTGATGATTTTGCAATTGTTTGTTTCAACAACAAACCAACCTGATTCCCACACTTGTGCTTCTCTTTTACTGTCAGCCAAGTCGAGTCCTCACCTGTCTATGCCAAATCCTCCACCAGGATCTTCAAGACTGTAACTTCGGATACCTCAATACATCTTAAATTGGAGGACGGATGCACATCTGCCTTTTTTTTTTTTTTTTTTTTTTTAGATTTTATTGATTTATTTGACAGAGAGACAGCGAGAGAGGGAACACAAGCGGGGGAGTGGGAGAGGGAGAAGCAGACTTCCCGCGGAGCAGGGAGCCCGATGCGGGGCTCGATCCCAGGATCCTGGGATCATGACCTGAGCCGAAGGCAGACGCTTAGCGACTGAGCCACCCAGGCGCCCCAGACTTTTTTTTTTTTTTTTGCCCAGTTCCGAGGCTATTTAGATATGGAGAGGATGCAGCAGGAAGTCATGTTACCCAAAATCTGCTAGAGCGATGTTTAGCTCTGAAGTAAGGAAATACAAGAGACCTTGAAGCTGGTAGTGAAGTGGGCTCTCTGCGGTAGCGACGCAACAATGTCCAGACAACGCAGGGCGGCGACGAGCCGCGCTGACTGGAGGCTGTGGATTCTGGGCTTCGGAAAAATGGGGGTGGCGGGGCGGGAGGGATGGCAGAGGAGCTTGCAGATTGCAGAGTGACTCGCACCAGCCCTCCGGTGGACACTGCTCCTGATGCTCAGTTCCCGGTCTTAGCAACTCCAGGAGTAACCGACAGCTCGGTGGACGCTATCTCCACCTCTGTAAAAGGGAGAGATGAAAAGTGCCGCTGCAGTTCCCCAACTTTAAAAAGTAACTTCCGTCCTTGGGGTCATTTCTTTGAAGTGGGGGTGGGGGGTTCTGCCCTCCTTGGCTATAAACCACTTTAGAGGCAGAACGACGCGCGGACCGGTCAGGTGTGTCCGCACCCCCGCGACCTGTCGGGACTGTCCCAGGACAGCTCCCTCTCCCGGGGGTGGGGGGAAGCTTTGAAGGCGATTTTCCAAAATCGCCGCCGCGCTTCCTGCACTCCTTCCTTAGAGCCTCGGGGCCAGGAGGGCGCGCCGCGTCCTCTTCCTCCCGCCGCCGCCCCGGGCCCGGCCCCAGCGGGAGAGCTACCGCGAGAACCGGCCCCGGGCAGGCCCGGAGGCCCGGAGACGCGCGGCTCAGCCGTGAGACCCTGCGGAGCGCTCGGCCGGGAGCTCGGGGAGGCGCCCGCCGCCGTCTGCAGCCGCCGGGGACTCGCGCGACCGTGCGCCCGCGGGAGGGACGGCCCCGCGCACGGAGGTGCTCGGCCGGCCGCGCCCCGATCTCTCCGTCCCTCCCCGCCCGCCGCCGCGCTCACGGCCGCCGCTGCTTTCTTCCCCGCAGCCGCCCGGAGACCATGTCGGCGGACACCGCGAGCGGCCCCACCCAGGACCAGGTGGAGATCCTGGAGTACAACTTCAACAAGGTCAACAAGCACCCGGACCCCACCACGCTGTGCCTCATCGCGGCCGAGGCCGGCCTGTCCGAGGAGGAGACCCAGGTGAGCCCGGCACGCCGCCCCACCCCCCAGTCCGACCCCTGTGGCCGGGGCCGTCTCCCGCACGCGGGGTCCCGCTCGCCCTCCCGCGATCTTCCGTCGCTCCTGCCCGCACCCCGGGAGCCCGGACGCCGCGGCGCTCCCACCGCCGCATCCCAGCGTCCCGGCTCCGCGCCCCCGTCTGCGCCTCCAGCCCCAGCCCGCGGTGGCTCCCCCAGGGACTATTCAGAACCCTCACGATCACCCTTCCTTCTCCGCGCTAAGGTGCTCTCGCCGTGGCCCGGGAGAAGCGCGCTATCCTCCCTCCGGCTCGGGAGCCGCGACCCTGGTCCGCCCTCGCCTCGCTGCCTCCTCCTTCCCGGGCTCAATTTCTCCCCTGGGCTGTGAGCGAAACCTTCGGAAGAGGTGCCTTGTGCGCTCTCTGAGCCCCCCGCTCCAATCTTTTCTCGAGGGAGAGTGTCAGGGCTGGAAGGGACTTTAGCGATCAGTTGTAAATTCAGTCCTCGGTTTGTCAAACGAGGAGCCTGAGGCCAAGAGGGAGAGAGTTGCCAGGACAGCAAGGGTATATAGCTTGCTCCTTGATAGCTTGCTCTTCCCACCATAGCACGCTGCAGCTTCCCCTTAGCTGCAGACAGCCAGGGAGATTTCACATTTTAAAAAATTCCCGGGCTCTAAGATGTAGTCTTTTTTTTTGGAGTTTTCCAAGAAGGAAATCATCTGACATCACAACTGAAGGGAGTGGAAGCAGATGTCCCCTTAAGTGCGCTGATTTTTTAAAAGCTCCTATGTTATTCCGAATATTGTTTAGGGTAGAGAATGCAACACTGCCCATGATTATTAACCTCCAGGTGCAATGTTGACTCCTTCAGCTGACTTAAAACAAACAAACAAACCCTATCCAGAGTTTACTCTGACTTCTATTTTCCCCTTGGTCGTTGAAAGACAATTAGTTATGCACAGGAGCCCAAAGCGCTTCCACACCTCTAGTCTCAGCTCTAAAGCAGAGATGTTCTCATTTTTCCCATGTTATAGACCAGAGCATCAGGCACTTTGGCCTCTCCTCACCTTGAACCATACTCAGCTGAGGCTTACGAGCTTGTAATGGGTGCTCCAGGATATCCTAGAACCAAGACCCTGGACCCCAAGCCTAAAATGATTTTTACTAATTAAGCCAGATGCACTTTGGAGACTTTGCCCATAGAAAATCCTCTCATTCCTAGGTCAAATAGAAAGTCAGGCATATCTGGTTTTAGCAAAGGGAACAGCTGTCAGACTAACTAGAACCAGAACTTAATGGAAGGTGATTTAATGTAACCCAAGTCCAGCAGTTCATGTTTCTTGGAACCCCCTGAGGAGGCAGCTTGCTGAAGTTTTCTCACTTAAAAGCCCACACTATATTTAGAAAAGAGGAGTGATCAGATAATAATAACTTGCATTTAAAAAGGCTGTGGGTTTACTGTGGGCACAGTACCAGCTAGGGGTCTAAGCTCCTCTCAGCCTCTGCTTCTCCCACGGTGAATCCCCCTTACCTGTGAGGCAGAATACTTATGTCACCCTCTGTGATGGCCGATACTTGCCAGGTATTGTGCAGGGCACCCTCCAAGTAAATCATTTGTCACACCAGGGCTATGCGGTAGGTAGCATTAGCCCAGTTGGACAGATAAGAGAACCAAGGCACAGAAAGGTTGAATAACTGGCCCAAGGCCACAACTAGGAAGTAGCAGAGCTAGGATTTGAACCATGGCAGTCTGGGTCACAATGCAGACTCCTCTCACTACCTTGTTGTCTTCATAGAGAGAAAGAATGGGAACAACTAGGGGATGGAGGGGACGACTGAACATTCCATTTCTGTTGTATTTTTTCCCAGAAAAAAAAATACATTTATTACATGACAGCATCCCAGCTATTTAATCTTTTCTTGAGATTCACCTTCTATTAAAGAACTGGAATGAAATCAGGTGAGGGGCAGGAAGAAAGGGCGCCTGATTCTTTTTGTGATTGAGGTCCACCAATTCAGACTTCTGACAGCAGGTTCACCTGCCCCCCTCCCCCTGGCAGGCTCTTCCCATTGCCCCTCTGCCATCGTCCTCAGATGAACAAATGCTGGATGCAATCCTGAAATGAGTGGGTGTAGGGGTGAGTCAGCCTCAGAGCAGGGCCCCTGGCTTCCTTTTTCTGCCATGGGGCCAACACCTTCCTCTCTGAGGCTGGCATAGTTCTGCTTGCCCCTCTGCCTTCCTGTGTAGGCCTGCAGGGAAGCGTCAGAGACCCCAGAGCTCAGAGGGAGGCCAGGTTTAGCAAGTTCAGGGGAAGGAGCTGCCTCAGGGTGTCACCCCTTACTTGGTTGGGTCCCATTTTCCAACTTCCCATCCTTTACACCCAAACTCTTTTCCAGCTCACCCCACCCCCATGTACACTGCTTCGTAAGAATGGTTTCTTCTTTAATCTTCTCAAGCAACATATATCTATTTTAGAGAGCGGGAGGGGCAGAAGGACAGGGAAAGGAAGAGAATCGTAAGCAGGCTCCATGCCCAGCGAGGAGCCCAATGTGGGGCTCGATCTCACAACCCTGAGATCATGACCTGAACTGAAATCAAGAGTTGGATGCTTACTCGACTGAGCCACCCAGGCGCCCCCTTAAATAACATTTATATTTTTGAAAGTATCTTCTGGAGATCTAATGGACAATGGTGAACTTTCAGGCATAAATAAAATTATTTTAATTTATAGTAGGCTTTGCAGGGCATCTTCAAATAACTCCAGGAAGGCCAGGGTCTGCTGGACCTGCGTAGAAGCTGTGCCTGGTATCAGCACATCCCGTTTCTAGTCTCTATCTGTGGTGCCCCTTTTTCACAGGGAGAGATCTCCAAAGCCAAAATAATATTTATTTCTTATGCCTGATCCCTCACCCCTAACACCACCCACCTCCAGGATTGGAGTGATATTCTTCATTGTCCTAGAACAAGTAATACTTTAGTAGAAAAAAATAAGCACGAGATGCTCCTTTGAGATAATGAACAAGAGCTGATTCACATTGCTGATACTTTGGCAGGGGCAGGAGGGACTGGAAGTTTGAAACATTCTCTGGGGGCTTTGATCTCTTTGTGACTGTCCCACAGTAGGACAGTGTTCTCTGCTATTGGGGGGACACCTGTAGGAACCGGGAGTGAGGGGATCAGAGCTTTAATGTTAACTTTCTAAGTTGCATTTGCTGGGATCCTAGAATGAGTTCTTTTTTTTTTTTTTTCTCTCGTGACAGTAATAAGCTATCTCCTACATTTGCATTAGATAAACCTAGATATAGATAGACCCAACCCCTGTGTCTTTTAGTATTTTGAAGTCAGTGTTAGAAGGGGCTGGGAAAGGTCTTTTATCAATCCCTGGGGAGGTTGGGCAGATCTGGCATTTTCTAGAATCACAAACTCAAGCCCCGTGTAGCCAGTGTTGGTTCCCAGTATCTTTATCTCTTCTTAATGCCCTGGGACTATTCCCAGAACTCCGTGGTTTTAGTTGTTGGACGTTTTATCAGTGGAATAAAGACCTCTAAAGGTCTCCCCCTGAAAAGAATAAAATGTTAGCTACTAGAGAAAAGGACAGGAACAATGTTATTTTGCCTCCAGCCCTCCCCATCACAGTGTCTAATTATCATCCGTTCACTCAGAGTAAATAAATCTCCATCAATGGGGTGAGGTAATGAGGGCATTCATTTATAAGCCAGTGAGGGATGAATGTCTTTCTCAGGGGATGACTGAAACAAGGAAGAGAAGAATAAAGCCAGGTGGAAAATTCGTACTGATGTGAGTGAGATGTGATAAGATTCAGCTCTGGAGGGGGAAAGAAGCAAGCAAGGTGTTTAATGGTTTTTGTTGGACAGCACCTGGTTTGCCAAACTGTCATATATACATACCTGATTTAAAATATGTATCTTTAGAAAATCGTTCTGCTTTTCTTGAATTTCGTCCCACCCCCCAGCACTAGGGCTCACCATGTTAGGCATTTGGACGCCAACTCTCCAGTTCACAAATGTGGTCCTCGCTGAAGTTATTTTTGGTAACTGTACATTAATATTCATTACTAGTATAAAGATATGGGTGGCTCTTCTGAATGAGGCCGGCTCAAGCATTTTGTCTTAAATGAATCCTGGTAGAAAATGAGACTTTCCTCCTCCAAGTTTTAATTAGTCAGTCTTTAAAACTTTGCCATGTATTCAGCTCTAGTAACTGGAAGTCCTATTGAATCAGACCTTATAGTCTCAAAACCCCCTCAGAGCTACCTCGTTAGTGAAACTGGAACCACGCTGCTCTCACACCAGACTCCAGAGTTACCGAGACACACACGGATTACAGAAGAAAATGCACCTGCCTTTAGCAGTGGAACTTTGGTTAAAGCCACCGAAGTTAACGTGAGCTCTCTTCTCCTTAGGGCTAGTGATTTCCAGGAGTAGAATATGGCACCTGGAGATCCACTACCCCAGACAGGTAGTCTGCTGCCCTTGGCTTTAGGTTATTGTCTCTGTTGCCACCTCACAGTACAAGACAACTGACCTTGACAGCCACGTAAGGCATTTCAGTGTGGAAACTCTGTTACAGTTACGGCAAGTTGTAGGTATGGTCCCATGCTCTTTAGCCAGCTTGGCATTGGTGCAGAGCCCTAAATGGCCCTTTGGCCCCACTCCCTTCTGGCTCTACAGACCTCGATCCCTAGAAGCACTCCTTCCCTGTGGTTCTCACCCTTTCTTCTGATCTTGGGCTTAGGCTGCACTGCCTGTCATCTCCCTAGATCTCTGCAGAGATGAGACCTTCCCCAGCAGGACCCTAGAGTCCACCCTCTTTGTCCCCAGGTTGAATCTGCAGCTGGCCATACTAAAGTCAGAGCCCTCTGGATGTTTCTAACCATCTCCATCAGCACATCCCAGGTCTGGGGTCCATCCCATAGCTGTGTTCTTTCTGCTGCTTTTCTGCCCCCATCATGTGCTTAGCTCTGGAATAGGTGAATTATAAAAACTCCAGAAGGGACAGTAAAGACCCCCTAAGCTTTCCTTTTCAGGTACAGTTGAGCTGACTAGTGCTGTATTTAAGGGGTTTCTTCAAGTTCCTGTAGCCAACTGATCACCATAGAGCTTTCTACTGGCAGGGCCCAGGACTGCAGAGTCCCTGGTGGTCACCTACCCAAGCAACTTGCCTGTTTGTCCCAGTGTGACATGAAAATATCATCATTCCCAATGTTTGCCATGATGTGTGAAAGGCTGGGAAACACAGGAGAATAAAGCCTGAGGTCTGACTTCCCACAGGGCCCTCTGACTCATCTTCTCCCATGAGGATCAGTGCCTGCCTCTTCTGTTTTCTCACCAGTCCCTCTTCAACATTGTTTTTTAAAATCCCCAGTTTCCTCCTGGCCGACCTGATCCACACCCCAGCCTATTCACCAGCGTGGGTCTCCTTGTCTCCCGTGTGCAGAATCCCCACCCCTCGTAGCATAGTAAGGGCAGCCCCATGACATATGAAAAGCCCACATGAAAAGTGTTTTAGCCCTCACAAGGTGCCATGTCTAGAAGCATCCCATCTGGGGCCTTCCCTAAATCCATGGTCTCTTTTGTGGGATGTGACTATTTGGGGCATAGAGAGCTAGAAGATTCTGAGTAAGCTGGAAGGCCCACTGTTTCTTCTCTCACTGCTCAGCAGCCCTGCAGCAGGAGAGTTTGGGCTAGCGTGCCCCATAGATTCCCAGGAAGGAGTGCCTGGAGGTTGTCCAGGCTCAGTTTTCCATTCATTTTACTTAACAAATACTTACTAAGCACTACCAATGACCAGGGCCCTTAATGAGATCACCACACATTGGTGAGACATAGTAGCCATAGAGCTTTATCTGGGGCATCAGGGAGATGCTTCAATTTCTTTCATTCATTCAACAAACGTTGATTAATCTATGTTATCCCTTGTGCGAGGGGCAAAGGATGCAATCAGTGATGATAAGATGAATACAGTCTCTGCTTTCATGGATCTTATATTCTAGAAAGAAATGTAGACTAAAAGCAAGTGAATAAACATAGTAATTACAGATAGTAAAAGTTCTGTGACGGTAACAAAGTATTAAAATAGAGACTAAGGAGTTGGATGGAGAACCTACTTTAGGTTCTCACAAAGTGGTTAGGGAAGACTTGATTGAGAAACTTCTATTTAAGCTGAGACCTGAGCATGAGAGGGAGATCATCAGATAAAGAATGAAGACAGAACATGCTAAGCATAGGAAATAGCATGTGCAAAGGTCCTGGGGCAGGGAAGGTAAGTGTCACTGTGAGAAAAACCATCCCCGTGGACACATTCCTTTCCGGTTGGGCCACAGGGGCTACCTTTTAGAAAAGGAAGGGATGTTCCAGTTTGCCAGTATGTGACAGGTAATTTTGCACATTTCCCTCCTCCAGAAATGGTTTAAGCAGCGTCTGGCTCAGTGGCGGCAGTCGGAAGGCCTACCCTCAGAGTGCAGATCCGTGACAGACTGAGGAGATGGTGGATGCTGGCAGCTTCCCTCCATGAAGACTGTCCGCCATTTCTCTCCTCGGCTTAACCAAGCTTTTTGGTTTTTCAGTGTAGTGCTGTGTGTTTCATTGTTAGCTGTCCTGCTATTTAACACAATGTTGTATTTTTTTAATGTACATAACCAGAAAAGAAAGTAACCCTAGGAAGCTATATGTGGCTTCTGTATAAAGCAGTGGCTTGGCTGGCTTGCCTTTCCTTTTGGGTCTTGATAATAGATGGTGTGAAAATCATCTAAGTTTGCTTTTGACCATCACCTCCCAGTACCAGTTCATTTTTACCATCCATTTCAGAGTGGCCAAGGCCTCTGTTGAAAAGATAACACGAGGGGGAAGCATTTCCTTCTGATTCTACTTCCCTAAGTTGTTTTCCTTATGTTGCAGTAATACACTGAGATTGAGTGAGAATACAGAGGTAATATTTGAGTCCGATTTCATAAAGCAGTTTCTTGGATTATTAGCTGCATTCACTTGGAAAGAACCCAGTTAGGCTGGGAGACAGAAACTCCAACTGGCAGAAAACCAAGTAACTAAGAAAAAGATCCACAGAAGTCTTCAATTTACCTTATTTAAATGTATTTGTTAAATTTATTTTACTAAACAAAATGAACTGCTTTTTGTCTCTGAAATGATATTCTAAATAAAAACCTTTTTTGTTGAAAATGCACTGGGTCCTGTGCAGATTTTTAACTGAATAATACATGTACCAAAGAAAAACAGAATAGCTCCAACATAAGAACAGACTGACAAAAGAGCTGTCATTTTTCAAATCCTTGCTACCAAAGTGTGGTCCCGGACTGGCATCTGAGAAAGGCAGAATCTCAGACTCCAGTCCAGACCGACTGAATCAGAATCTGCATTTTTAACAAGGTCCCCAAGTGTTATATAGGGAAGTGTGAGCAGCACTGTTGTCTTACAGACCCGATAGGCAGTTTGCATCCATCTTCTATTATAGCACATTATTTTTTTAAGAAAGATTTTATTTATTTATTTGACAGAGCGAGACACAGCGCGAGAGGGAACACAAGCCAGGGGAGTGGGAGAGGGAGAAGAAGGCTTCCCGCAGAGCAGGGAGCCCGATGCGGGGCTCGGGGCTCGATCCCAGGACCCTGGGGTCATGACCTGAGCCGAAGGCAGACGCTTAACCGACTGAGCCACCCGGGCATCCCCTATTATAGCACATTAAATGTCTTAATGGTCTTACTAGTTAAAACTGTGTTTGGGGCACCTGGGTGGCTTGGTCAGTTGAGCGTCCGACTCTGGGTTTTGGCTCCGGTCATGGTCTCACAGGTCAGAGACAGAACCCCGAGTCAGGCTCTGCACTCAGTGGGGGGGAGTCTGCTGGATGATTCTCCCTCTACTCCTCCCGCCCCCCCAAATAAACAAATAAATCTTTCCTTAAAAATTGTGTTTCACTGCATGGGACAATAACTTGATCATAATGGATTAACCAAACAGGCTTTTTGTTTCTTTAATTGGCTAATTGTTTTTACTTGAGGCATCAGCAGGTAAGTGTCTCTCGAATGTTGTCAAGGACCTATGGTCATTCTGTCTCTTACTTTGCGATCTTTAACTTGTAGCTTTTGTGTTCATGGATACAAGGTGGATGATTGGCCATTGAGTCTACATTTCAAGCAAAAAAAAAGGGGGTAGGGGAAAATGCCAGCAAAGTCTCTGACCTTCAAAAAAAGTTTCCTGGAGTCCCTCACCTGGTTACTGTCAACCTACATCTCATTGGCCAGAACTGAGTCCCATTACTATTCCTAACTGCAAGGGAGCCTAGGAAAATGAATATTTTTAATTGGGCATATTGCTGCCTTGAGCAAAATCAGGGTTCTGTTGGTAAGAAAGAAGGGGAGAGGAGCACCTGGATGGCTCAGTTGCTTAAGTGTCTGCCTTTGGCTCAGGTCATGATCCTGGGGTCCTGGGATCGAGCCCCACGTTGGGCTCCCCACTCAGTGGGGAGTCTGCTTCTCCCTCTCCCTCTGTCCCTCCTCACCCCCACCCCCATGCCCCACTCATGCTCTCTCTCTGGCACTCTCTCTCAAATAAGTAAAATTTAAAAAAAAAGGGGGGGGGAGGATGGGTATTAGAAAGGCCACAAGCAGTGTCTGTCAACCCAGCCTGGAATGACACTGTCTACACTTTTTTTTTTTTTAAGTGGTCTCCACACCCAGCATGGAGCCCAACATGGAGCCCAACATGGAGCCCAATGTGGGGCTTGAACTCAGGACCCTGAGATCAAGACCTGAGTTGAGATCAAGAGTCCGACGCTTAACTGACTGAGCCACCCAGGCACCCCATCACTGGTCTACAGTTCTGAACTCTGACCTACAATGCAGGCACAATTTTTTTTAGATCTTTAAAATAAAGAGTCCAGAATAAGAAACACTAACAGGTTATTCAGAATACAAATGTTTACAAGAACCCATTAAACATCATTGGCAAGCTTCCTCTCCCTATACCTTAAAACATTTCTTCTGTAAACAACACACAGTGACCCAGGGACTGAAAGAATAACCTCGTTGGGCATGCTCCCCTGCAACCTAATTAGAGGTGCCCTGAGCATCTCTCAGCACCCAGGGCTGGATGCTGACATCACTTTCTGGAAAGAAAGAAGGGAAAAGGTGAGACGAGGAAGGAATGTGTGCCCATAATAAATATGTGCATAGAGAGAACGTTCTTTACCTTTCAAAGCACTTTCATAGACACTGGCTAACAGGGAGAAAATAACTGGGCAAGGCAGATGGCAGAGCACAGTAATTTACCCATATCAGGCCCTGAGAGAGATGGTAAACCAGGTCTAAGACCCACGTCAGATGTCTTACGAGCACACCAGAGACATGTTTCAGGAACAATCCATCCAGGACAAGAAGAGTTAACCAGCTGGGCAGAGAGTCTGCCTTGGGACCAAGAAACACCGTTTGTGACAGAAGGATCACTTCCTGAGCTCGTCAGGCCGAAGAGTCAAGAGTCCTTGATTGGCACACGCTGGGAGAAAATGAGATTCTGTGTCCTTTTAATTAATTAACTGGTTTGTTTAAACAAGTGCCAAGTTTTGTATTTATTCATTTCTTGCATTTGAAGTACTCCTTAATGACGTCCTTGGCTTGAGAGTCTTTGCTGTCGTCCTTAACTACCACCCAACCACAACCCCCCATTTTCCGGTTTTCCCCAACAGTTTCACAGAAGCCTAGCCATTCCCCTAGTGTGGTGTTGTCATCAGCCTTAATTAGGTGCAAAGGGCCACCACCAACCTGACACACACAGGCTCATCACAGTCAGATGCCAGCACACAAAGATGGACGGGCTTGGCGTTCGCCTTGGACTTTGGCAGCTCAGGCATCCCTGTGGTAGGCCTTCACAGAGGAGGCAGGTCTTCAGCACTCCTGGTACAGCTGACTTAACCGCTATTACATGGCCAGCTGCAGGGCCTTCCTTGCCCCTGCTGGCGGGGGACGGGGTGAAGGCGAATCTCGAAGGCTCAGCAATGGCAAGGAAGGAGCCGGTGGCCTTTTCAGTGTGGATGTGTTCACAATACTAACCTTCCTGAGTTGACTTTTTCAACTGTAATATTAACGAGGATGACAATACTCCACCTCGAAAAAAGCTCTTCGTAAACAGGAATAATAATGACTACTGCTCAAAGTAGTAATGAGAATGGGACAAGGATCATTGTGATGCCTGAGAGAAGTCTTAAGGAGAACGCAGAGCCCTACGTTTTATGGGATCAGGAGTCTCTTCTGGACACCCAGGGCCACACACCAGAGTAGTAACACCCACCCCAGACCGAGAACAGCTGCCCAATCCCTCTTTCTTCCTTTGTGTCCCAGTTCTGCTGTTGCAGATGGTACTGACTGCTTGGATTGATCACTATGCCCAGCCCCTTTCTCTCTTGCCACCTTTCTCTAGCAAGGCTGTAGAGGCTAAAAAACGGAAATACTACCTTTTCCATCCTCACTGGAAACTGTGGTGGTCTGGTGACATGGTTCTGCCACAGAGGCTTAGGATGAAGACCTGGGTGGGTGTGGGGAGGTGGGAGGCTTTGGGAAGGGGGTTCGCATTTCTTGGTAAAGAGGACGAGGGCAGCAGGCTCTGTCTGTTTTTCCTTGCTTACCTTGAACCAGTTTCATTTGTTAATTGTAGAACTAGAGATAAGCAAAAAAGGGAAACAGTAAAACCAACAAAATCCATAACAATTACCCATGATCCCACTACCCAGAGGTAACCAGTATAATATATTGAGGGGATGCACGTTTTTGATGTTTTATATCAAAAGTTCCCAGGACCCCCTCCTTGGGTGTGATTAATTGGCTAGAACAGTTCACAGAATTCAGGAAAACAGTTTACTCACAGGATGACCAGTCTATTATAAAGGATATAGCTCATGGAAGATATGAGGGTAGGGGTGCTGAGCTTCCACGCCCGTTCTGGGCACACCACACTTCCCAGCACCTCCTGGGAGCTCTGTGAATCCTGTACTTTGGGGCTTTATGGAGGCTTCCTTATGTAGGCACGATTGATGAAATCGTCAACCTTCAGGAAAGCTGTAGTCCACAATGGCCTTGCCTTGGTGATCCTTCAGGGGATGGGGAAGGAACTGCTGGAGCCATGTTTGTGGCACATAGTGGACTGCAGAAATGTTTGTTTCTGTCTGCTCTCTTCTTGTAAAGGGGTGACAGCACCCCTTTACGTTTGGGGAGCTCCTCCCACTTTGTGTGATCTTGGTAGAACAGTTACAACACCACACATTCTCCACCCCGCTCAGAATGAGACCAGGACCCAGGCTGGCTGATCACAATGCCACACTGCACATACTGGGACTGAAACAAGGTGCGGGCTCTTGACCTCATGTGGGCCAAAGTCCTTCACCAACGTTTTCCCAGTTGGAACTGGAGGGGTAATTCTCTATTGTGCGCTTGCATGGAGAGTTAGGAGGATAGAGGCCTGAGGGTGCAGGCAGCCATCTACCCAACCACATAGAGAAGGGCTCTCTGTTGTGGAAGAGAATGAAGCCAGGCAGAGATGGGAGTTTCAAAGAGAAGAGAAAGAGAGGTCAGGTCCTGAGGCTCCGGTTCCCACTCTTCCCTTGGGCTAGCCCAGCCTTCCTGGCTCTGTAAACTAAGGAATGCTCTTCTTGCTGTGTATCTGTCATTTGCAGCCAAAGGAGCCCTGACTAATGTCAGAGTAAAGAAAGGAAGAGAGGAATGCATGGAAGGAGGACTTTTAGCTACTAGAGTAATTAAGAATCCAGGAGAAGCAGGGAATCCAAGCAAAAAAAAAAAAAAAAAAACAACCAGGAATTTATAGGCCAACAAACCTTGGAAATAGTTGGGCAGAGTACCAGATTTTTCTCAATTGATGGAGACTAGAGAAAAAACTTAGTTTTGCATATTAAAGGACAAGATGACAAGGAGATAATTTATGGACATCAAGGACATACTTCTTTGAACTGACAGAATGTCATGGGTGACATTTTGCTACTCTCTCTTAACCCTTGCCACCTCCACGTAGAATTTTGCTGTCCACTAAAAGGTCATTTTAAAACCTGATACCAACTCTTTCAAATGTATCCCTGCCCAAATTCAATGCCAAAGTATCTAGCCATAACAATGGAAATACAAAAAATAATTTGAACCTTCACATTCTTTTCCCATGATGGA